TACCACTGAACTTGTTTTCAGTGCGCCACTGGTAGATTGTAAAATAAGAATTTCATTCTCTGATTTGTATTTGCGACCGTTATCGGGGGGAAAAAAATTAAAAATTCGTTAGTTATAGCTAAATGAAAGAACAATTTTTAAAATGGTCCAGTAGCTTTATTTGGATAATCTCTTGTTTTTATTAGTTGTGACAGTTCGCATTTGAAAGTGTATGTTGTGTCTTGTGCATATGTTTATAAATTAAAGGTTTAAATTGTAAAGAGTATAGCTTGCCTACTTCACATAATAAGGTTAAGCGCATCGAAGCGGGAGTTCCGCAAGGGTCAATACTTGGCCCGATCCTGTTTCATATTGTAGTTCACAATATCTCGGTCAATTAATATAGTGGAACAGTGATAACAGCGCCGTAAAATACCTTGGCATTTATCTAGGCAAGACCCTCAAATGGGGATATCACATCAATAAAAAATTATACGAAGCCAACACGCGATTAGTAAAGCTATATCCTGTGATAAAGCACTAAAAATCGAATGTGGGACCCTAATACACAAGGCCTGTCCCCACATATGGTTCCCCAATATGGGTGGTATACGAGGTGGTACACAACTTAATAAGATTCAAGTCTTTCAAAACCGAGTGCTTAGAATAATTGTCAATGCTCCATGGTACGTCAGGAATGTGCAAATCCTACGTTGAATGTACCCATAGGGAGTGTTTGACTGAATGCGCCTTCAGTGTGTGTACAGAGAATGTGAGATGGTACCATGGTTTGAGGAAATGACACTTTGGCCTTTGTCGCTGCAATGACTGATACTTACTGTACGAAAGATGTTGAAATCTTATGAAATTCCTGAGGCATCCAGTTAAAATTGCCGAAATTATTTATCTAAACGTCTTAACGTGAATGGAGTTTTGCTAACTTTAATCTAGGTAAGCATATTTTTCATATTTCCGTTGTTTACAATATTTTTCATTATTTCTAGTTTAGTTTATATCACAGGCTCCCGGCAAATTCGAAGTTGATTAATATATTCTCTATTTTCTATTGTATTTATTTGGGAACTCAGTCATTGGGGTAAACAAGGTTAATCGTATCAACAATTTTTGATTTCCCGATATCTTAGCTGCACCGAAACAGTATCGTTAACACTTCAATATTCGACAAACTAGTAGCTTGATCTATTAAGACACTGTTAAATGGAGCAAGTGTGGTGGATTTCCATCCATCATCTGGGTCCGTAGTAGGTATTACCTACTTCGAGTTGCCGAAGTTCGAGTCCCCTTTTTTAAGCAGTGAAAAAGTGATAACATTATTTATATAAAATGTGCCTTGGTTGTTAATGACCGTATATACGTATACGTATAATTTAAGCTTACATCTTTGGGCATCTTTATGCCCTTGTTGTATCGTTGCATGTATTGATTGTAACGGGTACTCCGCTTGTGGACCCGCTGTCCATGTTCATTAATTGTTAATGATTTTCTATTGCCTTTATTGATTATATTCCAAGGCTAATTCCCCTACGGTATTGGTTCTCTTGAAACAAAGTCCTACAGAAACAGCTGTTCTCATTATTGTTTTGTTTTAGTGTTATAAGTAATATTGATATTACTAAGATACGTAATTGGTTACTCTTACTTTAATAATTTGTTATTGAAATTAAATGATTATATATGTTAGCTATCGTTGATTATTCAGACTGTCAGACTCTCAGAGTTAAATTTATGTCACAGTTAATTTCCCTAGAGACAAAATAATGTATGCACATAAGAGATTATCCATAGATAAGTTTAACTGAGACAAGAAAAACTATCTAAAAATTCAATAGGTATGAAGATCGTTTAATAAGAAAAATGTTGGTATTTCTATGTCATCAGTAATCGCCACATTAATTAATGTTACCTTGATTTTATTTTTGAGTCTGTCCCATTGAAATAAAAATGTGTATATGAAATGTTACCCAATGATATTTTTTTACTTTTTTAACTATTTTTTCTAATCGGCCTCAAATTTCCAAATCTTCTACACTGATACACAAGGCGTTATACAAATCTCTGGAAATCGATATAGATAAGGCTTTCAGATAGGTGTATGAGGTGGTCAATATGTCTGTGGGTCAAATGTAGTATAGACGACTTTTTGGGTGCGTCGATTCAACGAATGTAAATGAATTCGGGGTCATTCTTTAGATTCGCAACTTATTTCACGCATGAATTGTTGTCTATTTGGTTACATTATGTACAGGCTGTTTCAAACAAACCGTTACCTAAAAGTTTTCAGGCTCTTATTGATAGACTAAATCTGAAAATTTGTCTATAGACTTAGTTTTGCATGATCTATCGAAAGAAAATATTATCATGCGGATAGCAACATTATTATTTTAAATAAAACACCCTATAAATAATATAATATAATATTTTCGAGGTCTACATGAAAATCTATATCCCTGTATCCTTATAACCAGCATAAATGGCTTTTAAGTTATTCAAGATTTAAAAAAAAATTTACGTTACATTGCTTTGCGTTAGGGCTCTGTACCTATGACTCCGTTGGAATGAATTTGAAAAAGTCTTCCAAAATTAGTAATTCTGACTTGATTCTACATGATAATTATTAAAATTTTAATTGTCCTTCTACAGGGTGTTTTAAAACTAACGGTAAATGTTAATAACTTCAAGCCGCAAAAAGTTGATTTTTTCAAATGAGACATGCTTTATTTTTTTGCACTTTGAAATGTCGAAACAAATTCCATATTCTTTATACCTATCTCTCGACCTAAGTTTTACGCTTTCTGTTTTATTTTAGATTTTCTAAAATTGCGACTGTAATTTTCTTTAAAAAATGCGTTAGTAGATGTTATTGTACCGTTCTTGGGTGAAAAAATCTTTTGATGAAATGCAGTAGAAATTCGAGAGGCCACTACCAATGGAATTCATCGGAAGATTCAATTTTGTATTAAAAAAATCAGTGGTCATGTTAACAAAAACCTCAATTGATGTTTGTTTTTTATTTTGTAATGATAATAATTATAACCATAAAAGGATTTGTCTAACATGTCTGCTAATGCATTTATTTGAAAATTATGTAAATATTCGAAAATCTAAAATAAAACGTAAAAGTATAATAAGTAAGCTCGCAAGTAGGTATAGGAAATGTAATAATTGATCGACATTAGTTTTAAAACACTGCAATTGTAAAAGAGCGATCCAAATTTAAATCATTCTCATGTAGCATCAAGTCACTATTGGTAATTTTGAAAGAGTTTTTAAAATTCAAGTCAACGGAGTCATACGTACAAGGCCCAAAAGAAAAGCAGTCAGACGTCAAAAATTTTGAAAAATCTTGAACAACTTGAAAACCATTGATGCTGGATATAGGGAAATGGAGTATCAAACTACGTAGATTTTTATTTAGATTTCGAAAATGCAATAAAATACAGGTTGTTCTATTTAAAATAAGAAATTTGCTTATCCCCATCCGGTAAAACCGAAAGTGAAACGATCATGACCATATTTTCTATCATCTATCATAAAAAACTAGGTAGATATGCAAATTTTTAGATTTAAATTATTAATGAGAGCCTGAATACTTGTAGGTAACGGCTTCCGTGAAATGGCCTGTATACCTATATATAATTTGTTCATAATTGTACTATCAAGCGTAAGTATACTTATAGTTACCTATCAGTTATCAAAACTGAATCTTCTGTTATGAGCACTTCATTCTATACAAATAAGCTTTCAAGCCTCACGTGAGCCTTCACAAAATGCGATTGTGCTTCATTTGACACCATCATACATTGTTGTTGAGGTAGATGATATAAGTCGAGTGATAAGTATAGACTTATATTTAGCAATACTGTACCAAAAATAGGAGAGCAGGAAGAAATTTAGCTAAGCTAGTCATGCGTCTCTTCCTAATACAAAAGGACAATGAGGCAAAATATACCTAATTTAAATTACACGTACCAAGATTGCTGAACGCGTGAACCTACTTATCACTGTGCCGCTCCAAAGGAAGATTGTAGTATTGGAGTCATAATTGGAGTAATAGCAACATATTGAAAAAAATGTGGGAGAACATGTTTCAGCCATTATTTTATGTGATCAAATTATGATTGAATTCTAATGTAAAGACAGCCGAAACGGTAACGAGCAGTGGACCTAGTATTGATCCTTGTGGTGCCCCGAATTCATTAATGAAATTAGCAAACTTTCATTTGCCCATGCACAATTAAAACTTATTTGCAATGCGAATTCCGAGTAACATTTCGCGAATCATTAATCTCGCAATATTTTTAGAAATACATTAATAACTTTCATAACACTTTGAAAACAGTTTTTATTACTTTTTGTGCAAGCAAAAATAGAAAGATTTGTTTGCGCGGTTATAAAGAAATCTTAAATTTTAAAAATCAATTGATTTGTTGATGGCAGGAAAACAGAAAAAAATTCAAAAAATTTCGCGGACAGTTTGAAATTTAAATCGGACAAGGACGCCGAAAATTTATGAAAGGAACAGTTTTATCGAGGCGGAGTTCGACTCCCACTGGCCCCGCCCAACGAAATTGTGCCCGATGTCAATTTTGTGACCGATTATTTTCTAGGCCAAGAATTCGTCCCGAATTTCTTGTCTTGTGCGATTTTTCTCAATGAACCGAGAAACCACGTGCGCTCGGCTCTTTTTGTCTCAACGGCGAAAATTTTGGGGTAAAACAACAGGTGTTTGCTCTATTCGGTTGCGCGAAATGTTTTAATTACATTTTGGAAGCGAATCGAGGAAAAGGGTTACTCATTCAAATGTTTATTTTGCTTATTCATAATCGTGCAGTAGCGGTGTAAAAATAGGTCGCTTATGAGTAACGCAGGTATGTTTAATTGTTTCGTTGTAATCGACATCTGCTGTGCCGGTTTGGCGCGGGGGTGTCGTTTTGGGAAAAAAACACGCGGCGCCCAACGCGTTAATTATTTATATCTATATCTATATTTACAACACTTACCCGCTCCTCCTCGCGTATCATTTCGGCGATGCCTGGTTTGATTTCCATATCGTCGGAGGGATGCGATTGTGAAATTTGCGGTTGCGGTGGTAGCGGCAAGGTAAGTGGTAACGGTTCGGCGGCTCCAGGTGTTGCAAGAGGTGTCGGCGGTGGTGCAGGTGACATTTCGACGGATGGTGGCGGTTCGGGCATGTCGGTATTGCCACTTTCGGCGGGACTACTCAGGCTGCTACGTTCGCCCGAGGGGCGCCTTCGCTTTTTCGCACGTGGTTGTATCTCACCGTCCTGACGATTCTCCCAATCGGTGATGTTTACGGCTTTTGCGAGGGTTTTCGTGGTGAGTTCGCCAGCGGTTGGACTAACGATGTCTTGTTCGCCGTTAACGTCGGCCAAACCACGTATTTTAAGTGACTCCGCCACCCTTAATAGGGGACCGATTTGTTCTTGGGACACATTTATCTCACCCTTATACATAAATTCGACGGCGGCTTTGAGTTCGGGCCATTTAATATCTCTCATTATAACGATAGGGTGCTGGCAGGGATTATCGAAGAACAATGACTGAAAGTAGGGGCTGCACGCCGATAGTACCATTTTGTGAGCCTTGACCGAATGTCCGTCACAGGCCAGGGTAACATCGACGAAGGACTCACTCTGGAGCAGTTGGTCGAAGACGTTCGTCAGATTGCTCTGGTAGTTATTCCAACGCAGGCAGAACTGCTGCGGTGATCCCGTGTTGTGCTGCATCGTCACCTGAAAGTTCCAATTGACACCTTTTTACAACACGCACATTTCAGTTTCGTGAATAATTTATGAAAATTCGGGAGACAGTCACTATTACTATTGAGGGAAACAAACGCGAACACGTGGAATGCGATATCTGCACGCGTACCATACAGATAAAACACGACGCGTCCACAGCGAGACTGAATAATTCCTCCTAGTAGCAGAAAATTCAGGAGGGTATGTAACGCCTTCCCGCGCACGCCTTACCCCCACTAACGATAACAACGCCCCCCACTCCTCCTTCCACCCACGTACCGCGTGGTTATATCAGAGGACAGTCACCACTTCACGTAATTATTCCAATTTTTTTAATCGTATTCACCTGAAGACCACCATTCGGTGGTTGGGCAGACGTATTAACAGTTAAGCACCCCCCTTATACACGATTAGAAGGGCCATATCGCCGAGTATTACCATTTATTATTCACGTGTGCGAAAAGTAATTCCGAAAGAGAGCAACCGCACACTTATGCCCCTAAATGTGGGGGAATTTACAAATTATCATTTTATTGAATTCGACATTCTTCCATACGTTTTTGCCGATTGCCCCCCCAACGAATTTTGATTTGTCACAATCTCGACTCTGTACTCCTAATTTTAAAAATATATGCCTGATTATTATCTGGATAAAATCAATACACGCACCTTTCAAAGCTTTGCACCCTTTATGCATAGGAAAATGGGTAACCCAACAAAGTTGTCCGGTGTAGGTATGTATAAATATGTAATATATTACAAGCGTCCATAAATCTAATTCATTTTGGACGGATTTGACCGAGTAGAATGCCTAATTTTCACCAACATCTGGAATAAATTTAGGTACCTAGGTATATTAGAAATCATTATCAGGGCTGGCATGTATAACAAAACATGTAAGTAGCCCTAGGTTTTCGACCATCAGTTTAGCCAGATTGTTCGAGGAGCACGTTTTAGAAACGTCAACATTTTACCACTGTTAAATATTTGTTTCGTATATATGTTATTTAATATGTATTCGGGAAATATCTACTTATGCCGAATATCCCGCGTGCTTAAAAATACCCTCGATAATTAAGAGTAATAGGTAATTCGAATATAGTGTGCAACTGATTTCCGCATCCTGAACATTTATAAAATGGGATGAATAGCAATTCAATCTCTTTTTTTTTTTTTGGTATAGGTATACCTAGGGTTTAACATCTAATGGTATCCCCTTTATACACCATGTTTGTACCACACAACTGTTTCTACTACCTCACATTTTCAGGTCACACTTCTTGGTATATACCGACATCTTTCAGAAATTCAAGTGTCCTTTTCATATTCACGGGGTTGAATTTATGTGTTATTCGTTGTAGTGGTATTTTGGACAGTCTTGTATTATGTGTTATATATTAAATACCACCTGACACTGATTACAGCGAGGAGCAGCTTCACCTACTATAAGCAGATGTTGATGCGTAAGTTTAGTGTGCCCTATTCGTATACGGTGATTTAGAGGATCTTTCGAGTACCTATAGTTGCAGTAAGTTGTACCCCGCTGGACCTAGCCCTCCCCCCACCCCCCCGCCATTCTGAATCAATTTAAGAATGGTATCCACTTTATGAGGTCCCACAAGCAGGGCCGTAGTCAGAGGATCCGAGTGAGGGGGGTGTATGCAATAAAAAATGCTGACTTCAATAAAAATTCAAAATAATACATCGTACAACATTAAACGACGGCATTTTAACGCTGCCCATTGTGACACTATTTTTTCCAAATGTATACTGTCTGCTATATCTTTTTCTGATTACTTAGAACCAATAAGACAGTTAGCCAATTATCCGCCATTGAGGAACGCAAATGATTTTTAATTAAACTATATAGGTAATAAATACCAAAGTAATAATAATAATTATTATTTTATTATTTGTCATTATACAGAGTGCTCTTTTTTCGCGGCTGTCATGGATATGGATTCTATTTTATTTCTATTTGCACGAAAACCGAGTCGAAGTGGGACGTTTAGAAGACTTTTACAGAGGAATTTGATAAATATGGCCAGAATGGCATAGAACTTTTTTTTGCGTTAGAGTCGCTAAATTTCATCTTATGAACTTTCACCAGAGTTATTTTTCTCTGACGTGCCATAGCTTTTAATTTACTACTTTGATTTTACCAAAATACCTTATCATTCAATTTTCACGACAGTGCTTTAGAAATTGCACCCAAACTCATTTGCGGATTTGCTTTGGTAGTTTACATTTATAATCAAGATAATTAACAAAAATGTCGTTTTAAATGTAGTAAAGCGTTCTTTTGGCAAGATTTTATTATATATTATTATTCAGTTAAAAGTAGTAATCTATCCAAAACCGATTTTTGTCTAAAAGACACTCTCGTGACAATTGAATAATTAAGTGTTATATTTAAAATGTAATATAGAAATCCATAGTAAATTCTTTATTAAAAAAATCTAAAAATTCAATGTGACCCCTACGTTCAAAACAAATTCAAAAAATAATGTCATAGTCTAAACCGCCCATTTCTGAAGTATAATAAATAAATAAATAAATAGGTATACTCGTTTTTTTTTAAATACAGAATTATTAAAACGCAGAATTCAGTTTTTTTAATTATTGAAACTAAAAGAGATATCCCACAAGTGGTTTCAATGATTGATTCACATTTTAAATTTAACTTTACCCCAATTTGACTATTAGTTTTCAACATAAGAGATCCCATCGTCAGGCGCTAAAAATGACCACCCTGTATACTTATCTACCATCTATCCCTATCGCAACTTTTAAACCCATGCAAACATAACGGCTAGAAAAATTTGCGGAACATTTTTAAGCGACCTTTAACCATGTAAGGTAATGGATCTACATCCTCGTAATATCAATGAGAGTAATAACCAATATTTCTTCATTTTGCGTGGAAGGGGCGGCTACAAAACGGTTTTCCGGCGTATTTTACGCAATTTTTTTCCAATATTAATTAAATGAATTTAATTTGAAATGCGATTTGTCGAGTGCCGACTAACTGAAGTTTTGCCGACTATGGTCACGCGTTAGGGGGGTGTGACACCCCCCATACCCCCCCGTCAATTCGGCCCTGCCCACAAGCCAGCAGAGCCATTTTAGAAAAATGAAGGACGAAATACATCAGAATTATAGGCTGATTATAGGCCCTTTTTGGACACTTCAACAAATTTTCAGGCGGCATCCTTTAAAGAAAAAAACTATGGGTCTGCTGGCTAAAGACGAAGCTAGCTGACCACTTGTGAGATTTGCTTCGAAGGCGAAAAATTCAGATCACAAAATTATAGGTTATTTATAGGCTTTTTTTAGACACTACACCAAATTTTCAGGCGGCGTCCTTTAAACAAAAAAACTATGATTTCGCTGGCTAAAGAAGAAGCTAGCTGACCACATTTGCGATTTGCTTCGAAGACGAAAAATTCAGATCACAAAATTATAGGCTATTTACAAGCTTTTTTTAGACACTACAACAAATTTTCAGGCGGCATCCTTTAAACAAAAAAAACTATCATCCAGATCAGTTTGATTGTGCCCCTCTTGGAGATGTAGTGGATAAATAAAAATTATTTATTTATTGTCTATTTATTGTCCCTCTCTTGTTCTGGGCCCTCAACGGGGTTTCGCCCAATTAATATAGGTATTTATTTAAACTCTTAACTTATATTTCAAAAATCCGATACAACTGAATACCAAACAATTCTCGAGATCTTCACACATACATCATTTTTACAATACACCCTAAGGCAGGGGTGCTCACACTTGAACTGCTGACGATCTACCTGAATGTTGTTAGACTCCGATAGATCGACTCTGAGAGGATGCAAGTATGTGTGAAGCAGGATTGTTGTCTACATAGGTAGGGCGTATCGTGGCGCAATTTGCAGAATTTCATGAAAATACTGTACATAGAATTAGTTAATCTAGTGGAAACGGCAGAATTTAGTTTTCCGCAAAATCCATTTTCTTTGTCAAGGTAGGTGTAGATCTGCTCTGAAAATCGCAAATGTTTCTCGAGATCGACTCAAAAAGTACTCGAGATCGGCCGGTCGGTCGCGATCGACCGTTTGAGCACCACTGCCCTAAGGGGTTGATTCTGTCCCACCTGATCAGATAGCTTTTAACACAATTTTTTTGATTTGGCATTAGTTTCACTTTTACTGGAGGTACCTAGATACAGAAATTCATTTAAATATACTAACAAATAAAAAATTAGGATTGCGCAAATACAAAAGTTGTTATGCGCATGCGCAGTATTTGTTTGCATTTGCATAGTTGCCTGAAGTTTAAGGAATATTTACTAACACAGAAAACCGGACATTCATATGTTCTCTGTAACAAGAGTTAGAAACCCTATTTGGAGGTTTGCGCAGTTTTTGGCCTGTAACTATTTGGCCCGTTGGTCTACGTAGCCGAAAAACAATTGTGAACTTTGTTATATCCTGAAGAACATTTGTATATCAATTTTTAAAGCGATCGGACGTTTCTACACAAAGTTATCGTACGCACTGACAGACAGACGCACAGATAGGCAGCAATACAAAATTATAAACGATCTCGAGGTTCGTTAATAATATAATGAGACGAGAATTTTAATTTTTTTGTACTTCTTTCCAATTCAGGAATATCGTTTCAACTTTTCTTCTCCTATAATACAAGAGAAGATGCATGGACAACTCAGACACTTTTAACATTACTTTTTTTAAAACCTGAAACACAACTTGCTATATATTTGATTTATTAGTAAAAGAAAATTCAAATTTCAAATACCTACTTGACAGGACAGATGTCTCCAAACAGGTGGAACAATCCCTAACATTAAAGTTACTAGAATCTGGTAACTTACGCAATTTTTGGGCAAAAAACATGCGTTCTCTCTCTAACACACGGGCCCAATGGATTGCGGTACTTTCTATATTTAGTGACTTATAATGGATCTACAGTGACTGTATACCTACTGTATAGAG